CCCCCTTACAATTCCTTCAGCACTACTCAATCACACTGCGCAAATGATGCAATGCAATGCAATGTACTGATGACAATCTGCTGGCATACTTCTGATTTCAATTTGCTGCATGCTGCATACTGCAAAGAAAACCTTGCTCCAACCTGGGCCTGAGCCTCATTGCTTCCTTCTTCTTCCCTTTCATGGTCCTGAACCAAAAGTACCAGAAAGAAAACATCTCATGACCCATGTCTCCCCTGAGACCTGTTCTCATGGCCTTCCATGTGAACAATCACCATGTACAAGGCACTCTAATGCTTGTTTATGTGCACAGGCTGCTCTATGGCTTGAACTTTGCTGATATCCCCAAGCCTCTTCTGGATGTTCTTTCTCATGGCTTCCTTCTTCTTTCCCTTCATGGTCCTGAACCAAAGTACCATAAAGAAAGCATCTCATGACCCATGACTCCCCTGAGACCTATTCTCATGGCCTTCCATGTGAACAATCACCATTTACAAGGCACTCTAATGCTTGTTTTTGTGCACGCTGATATCCCCAAGCCTCTTCTGGATGATCTTTCTCATTGCTTCCCTCTTCTTTCCCTTCATGGTCCTGAACCACCAGAATGAAAACCTCTCATGACCCATAACTTCTGATGAGAAATGTTCTCATGCCAATGCTGTTGTTCACAACTTTTCACCAGCTGATCAATACCTAATTAGTGGCTTTGAACTCTGCTTGTCTTCAAGTCTTCCCTTGCAAGCCTCTTCTGGTGGGTCTGGCATGGCCCATCAGGCACCCTGATGATGGTCTCTCATGACACCAAAACAAAAATAGTGAAATGTAATTTGTTGTAATTAGATAATTAATGTGAAGATATCTTATGACTGCTTGCTTGTATGCTTGAGGCTAAATGCATTTTGTCAATGCTAGTTTCTTTAAGTCTTGACCTTCAACCATGCCAAGGTCTTCAAGCAGACCTCTCCAAGCTTGATGCGCAAAGCTTGTGGGTGAACATCCCTAATGACTGGCATGGCTCATGTACCACTGATTGACTCCAACTCCATGGCTCATACTCTCTAATGATGCATTTCTTCAATGACTGGAACCCATGACCCACGCGCCACTTTTATCATGTGCCACAGCAAAAGGTGGCTCTCTTCTGATGGCTTTGCCTCTGATCTAATCTACCACCATCTCTTCTGATGGCCTTGAATCTCCATCTCATGGCACTTCCTTAGACACAAGGTTGTCAACTTTGCCAAAAAAACATGGGCCAACAAATAGTGTCAATCATTGCATCACTTCATGGTTGAAATCTGTTGCAAGTCTCTTCATGTCATCAATCTTCTTGATCTCCTTCTCAATCCTCCATAGAGGTCCTGCTGGAGGTCCTGGCTGATCCCACTCATCCATCTCTTGATCATAGTGCTCATACAGCTTCCTCAGTTGGCAAATTGATTGTAAACTCTTGAAAGCTTATGCGCACAAGGCTCATGAAACTGATTGTAGGTTCATTGAAATCTCATGCACACCAGTCTCATGAACAAGTTTTAAAACTTATATCAAGTGTCTCCAGCTGATCAAGCCTAGCCTTGATGGCTGCATACTTGGGCTTCACCTGGCTCCATGGAGGGCACAGATCCAGCAAGTCCGCGGCATCCTGGTCCTGAGATGGTGACAAGAGGCTCATGTAAATCCCTGATGACAACATCAGCATCAAGCCATGAAAACTAATCCCAGCTGAGCTTCTGGATGGAACTGGCTCATCCACCATTCCTCTCTCATGCAGTTCTCATGGACCTGGCCCTCATACCTAAGCAAGAAAACAAATAATGCATCTCTCAAGAAAACAAACTAAAACAAAAGTCTGAATGCCAACTTCATGCATCAACCCAATGTAGTTGAGTTGCTTCTTCTCTTTCTCATTGGCCTCTGTGCCAAGGACCTTCCTGATCAGCCTGTTGTACCTGAGCTGCTTCAGTCATGCCATGTTGGCTTCATGCAATGCTCATGCCAATGCTTTTGTCACCAAACCAATCCAAGGTACTGAATCTGGAGCTTATGGTCTGCTAATGCAGTGCGAATGCTCATGTCCCACTCTGCCTCATAGGTATCTCCTTAGTTTGTCATTGTGTCATTCCATTCACCCTCAATGAACCCTCAATGAACATGGCTCAAACTTCAAAGAACCACCAATTCACTCCAAGCTTCTGGTTGATCCAGGCTGAAAATTTGGCTTGACACCCTCAATCATGTTCTTAAGGATGGCTCCATCTCCAACCTCATGGTCATACTCCTCCATGACCTGCATGAGGTGCCTCATCACATCATGGAAGTAGCCACCTTGCTGATCCAGCCCTTAGATGGTTGCAAGCTCATGCAAACTCATGCCAACTCATGCAAACCCATGTGCGCTCCATTTCAATAGCCCATTCCAACATAATGAAGAAAACAAGTGGCTGGACTCTATGAAGTTGCACTTGTTGGCACACATCCAAACACTGTTCTCAATGTTCACTGCATGCCCCACCATCTTCTCCATCTTCCACATGATGTAGCTCATGGCCATACTCATGGCCTGAGATGAACAGCATCTAGTGACAAGTTAAACAGTTATGCAACTATATAGTGTCACCACTGATGCAAGCATCTAAGTACCCACTGATACAAACATCTACCAAGCCACAATCTCCCTCCACATCTGCTTCAGGACCTGAATGGCGAGCTTGATCACCTCCATGGTGATCTCATGCTGCAGGCCTCAATTGTGGACAGGCAACTAATTACAGATGATGACTTCCCCACCCCTTAGATGATAGCAAACTGATGCAAACTCATGTGCTGCATCCCCTATGCCCACTCCAACCTAATGAACCATAAGGTAAACAATGCACAAGTCTAATCTTGAGCAAGTTGCTGATGGATGCTGCCAATGCAAACAGCGCAATGGTCTGCATGGATGCCCAGCTCATCATGCCTGGGGTTGGGGTCATTGACTTCATGCTGGCCCTAGCTTAAACCTCCAACAAATCAAATGTAATGAAAAATAACAGACCCAATTTATCTTCTAGGTACTGATGGCCAACTGATGCGCAGCTAGATGGGAGGCTGATGCTCTTGCTGATGAGCACAACTGCTTCTGATGCAAAAAAGATGCACTTGCTGATGGAACCCCTGGCTGGTGCAAGTGATGATTGCCCACTAGTGAATGCTTTGCACTTCCTGATGCCAATCCCTATATGCAAAAACCTCATCAAGGCTAATTAGCATCTCTAAATGTGCAGCTGCTGATGGGCACTAAATGCATTGTTTTCCCTTTGGGAGATTGCTCTTGCTGAGGCATTTGCCTTCCTAATGCAAGCTAATCCAAGTCTCATCCTTCCTTATCCTTCACCTGCAGTGCAGCACATGGGTTGATGCTCATTCCAAGCTCATTCCACTCTGCGCGCACCAAAAAAGAATGCCAATGCACCTACCCCCTGTCTCTTGAAAACCTCATGAAACCCAATGCCAATGGTGCCAAGGCCTCATCAGATGGCTTCTCTTCATGTCCTTCCTTTTCTTTTGCTTTTCCCACCTGCATGGATTCAAATCTCAAGGTAATTATCCATCTCAATGTTTTGACTAACCTCTCAATGACTTCACTAATGTTACTAATCTGCATGGCTTCATTGACACACATGGATTCTTATGCTTTCATCCCACCCCCATGGCCTCATCAGATGGCTTCTTTTGATGTTCTTCCTTTTCCTTTGCTTTTCCCACCTGCATGGATTCAAATCTCAAG